TCTTTTACTGACTGCGTCCTAGCCAAAATCTATCAACAACCTTGATTAATGCATCTGACTGCATAATCCCTACGTGAAATCCACTGCATCTGATTTTTCTATTTAAAATAGTTTTCTTAAATTTCTAGGTCATTAAGTTTCCCATCAAATTTAAATTTTTTTTAGTTGTACATTCATGTCTTTATGTTGTGACATTTCGAACAAATGTTAGCAATCTACCACTATGCAGTATGTTCTGATGCTTACAAAATTTCATCAAATATCCCTGTTTCAAGTAATTAACTTGAAATGACAGTAAACAAGTGAGTAGAAACACGATTGAGCATTATATCTTCAAGTATACCCTATTTGGGTTTTATGTGAAAAAGCGGTATTAAATAAGATATTACCAGTAACATTTTACTTGAGGGAATAATTTTTCTTAACCTGACTGTCATTTACACATGAGTTTATTTTCCTTCCTAATTTATTATTAACCATTATTATTTCTAGTACATTTGAAAACAATTTACAAAGAGGAAATTTGGCAAGATTATCTGTAAAATATGCTATAGTCATGAAAGAATACAAGAATGAAGCAGACATATGAATATTCCACTAAGCATGTGTGTCATACGTATTAATGATCAGTGAGATGTTTCGTTTTATATAGATTCATAAATCATCAGCCCCAACGAGTTGATCGCTGACGAAATCTCACTAAGGATACGGAAGGCTCGCTTGGCATATGCCAACTTACGCCATCTCTAGCGTAGACGTGATATGGGGCTGGCTGTAGACCAAAGGGTGTGTATATTCCTCAGCAGTTCTCTCCGCCCTCCTTTATCACTGTGAGTGAGACATGGCCATTAAAACAAGGAAGACATGAAAAGCCTGGTGTCTTTGATCACAGGTACCTGCGTTCTATCTCCCGTGTTAGGTAGTGTAATAGTGTGAGCAGTATTGAGGTTAGGCGTCGAGGGCTAGGTGAGGAGGGGAAATAAATGGACGAGATTGTGAAGTTACGCCGATTGAGATGGTTAGGACATGTGTTACGCATGCCTATCGTAGATGTCGCCTTCTTCGACCGATGGGCAATGTTAACTGACATAGGCTGGGTGAGGTTGGAAAAGGGTAAATGGCAGTCAAACCAAAACATGGCTTCATTAGTCAATGAAATCCACAACAGTTAGTTTAAACCCCATAGGAAAGTGTAGACTTCTTGGTTGGGGTCCTCGGGACGGTAAAAACCAATGGTTGGAGACAATTGGTAATATGGCTCAAAATCGCAGATTTATTCACTCTGTGATTTGTAATATCCTATAAAACTCCATTGTTTTTCCATATTACTACTATTCTTTTTCCCTCACACTTCTGTTTATTATTTGTCTTTCAAACCTCTTTTATCTTGCTTTGTATGCTACATGAAGAGAGTGTAGCAACTCAAACTGCTGCACATCTGTGTAAAGTTGTATGTTGAAACCAGTCAGTCATCAGATTCATAAGTACTATTTAAATCATCAGATTGACTATCTGGAACCTTTTTTCTACATCGACAATGTTTTTATTGAGAATTACCATATTGCTAACATGTTTATTCCTTTATTTGTACATACAGTTTCCTATCACTTGAAACACAGACAGAAAACTGCGTGTCATTTGGTTTTATTCGTACAAACTTTAATCAACTAAACCATATCCACTATTGGTGACTTCTAATGTATACAGAAAATTCATTATGTATTTTATGCTTTTGTTTTCTCTCCATTTTTTAGTATTTACTTGAAATGAAACCCCTTATATTACCTACGGAGCATATATTGAAACGTGGAGACTCAGAAGCTATAGCTTATGCTTTCTTCCATTTAGCCCATTGGAAGGCTGTTGACGGTGCAATCAATTTATTATATTGTACATGGGAGGGGACATTTCGCCTTATCCCGTATCCATTGGAGAAAGGAAATCTTTTCTACCCATATCCTCATTCGACTACAGCAACTGATAGGGAACTACTGCCAAGTATGAAGCTTTTTTGTTACTTGTTTCCATAATAATAATAATAATAATATTTAAATGCACTTATTTAAACATACTGTCTGCGTGTGTTTCAGTGCACTATCAATCAGTCTTCAGGAAGGATGTGAACTGTAGTCACGTGTTGATTTATGGTAGCGCTCTAATTGCGTTTTGAAATTCTTAGATTTGTTTCTACAACCTCAAGTGAATTACTTATTTGATCTTACAAAAAGATAATTTGTGTGTTGAAGAAAAAACCACTCAATGACAATATATATACGATTTTGAATGACTATTCAGTGATTATATTTTCTGATAAATATTCATTACTCTCACGATATCTGATGTGTTTAGATTATAGCAATATGTCAATGTTTTGTAAATCAAATAACGTAGAGCCTATCATTTGCAATTGATGAATTCCCCTGGGAAATTCTACCACGATGATTCTATTTTACTGATTCATAACAAAGAACTGTAGGAGAATTTACAGGGTATATATCTGCAGTTCACTGTGTTATTGAGATTCAGCGTTTAACTTCAATGGATCGAGGAGTAGACTGTACATGAGCTACATTTACATATATACTAAGTGCATTTAATTCTTCATTTTTCGATTATTATTCTGTTTTCCTAGCCATAATTGCTAAATTTGTTTGTTTTTTAAATACATTTCAACGAAGTTTGTAATTTGTCATCTTCATGTTTAACTGTCACTTGGGTGATCGAAAGCAATGTGACCGGTAAAACTATTTATGATTTCCAGTAATTTCGGCGAATGCCAGACTTTTCCAGTGCCGATAGTAAGATATAAAAGCAATATGTGAAATAAATTCGACATAAAGTTGAGACTGTAGCGATTATCACACATATTTTCTAACAAGCATCAAGCAAACCGCTGAACAACTGACATTTGTGGTGACACTGAGAGCTTATGCGCTTTTATTAAATATTACAAATTAGTTATTAATCAAAAATTTTTTCACAATCTGGTAACAATATAATACAAGGGTAGTATGTGGGAGTGATCTCAATTTCTGTTCTTAGAAAACCGGAGAGTCAAATTACTTCAGACTATCCGAATTCTTGATATCTATTTGGGCAAACTGGTAACACAGACAGTCAAATTCGCTGTGTTTTTTTTGGCAGATTACACAGTGTATGGTGACAATACTTATCGGTCTTGTGTAGAATCCCAAAACATTCATATCATAATGTTATATGCTTAGTATCTTGAATGGCAAGACAGAGTATTCAAATGATTGATGAGTATTTGGAAACCACTCACATCAACCAGTAGTGTTTGCTGACCTAATCGAAGTAATCACTGGATAGCTACTTCGCTGGTTTCGTCGGGGCTCGTTATGAGCGAGTGATGCAGCTATACAGTGTTTCCCTAGTTTAACTGTGTACTGATCAACCACCCAAATACATTAATTTCAAAGGATTGCTAGTGGCATATTTGCGAAAAGTAACGAATTAGGAAGATGCAACTTAAGTAAGCTAGTTTACATCCCCAAAGATATATCTGAAGAAACCTGGTAGTATCAACCAGCAAATATATAGTTCTGTAGATGTGTTCACTGTATCCGAGTTAACTGCTTAACGGACGCAATGAGTTTTTCATGTGCCTAATTCTAAATGTTTGAATACAGTATTTAACGAGCTGAATTATTTCTTTTTCTTTCATTCAGGTTTCCATACTCTATCAGTGTATCCAAAGAAGGATGTGCCATTCTTTATCCTGTTTATTGCTGCTTTGTGTACTTTAACTGCCATACTCACATGTTTAACTCACATCTATCCTGAACAAATGGGATCACTTTCTAATAAGGTATGTAGAGATCTTATTGCCTCCCGAGGCGAAAAAAACTTAATGTTTATACAACATTTTAAAATGCTAACCTCGTTTCGCTGAATTTTTATAATATTATAACTACAGAGATCAGCGTCATTTAGAAAATTATTGAAATTCATATAACAGGTGGTAGAAATGCCAGAGAATTTTATCCGACTAAATGCTATAAGTGAGTCTGACTCCAGGTTACCCTAGTAAAACACGACAGTCATTTTGTTCTGTAATGGAACTCATAGCTTGATTCACTAGCCGTATTATTTATTTAAAAAACAACATAGGCATAATTGCATCCTAACAACTGCCATCAAATTATTTTTTTTAAGAGTTAAGATTTTAGTAATATTTGATTTTTCTATCGATGTACATGTACAAAAGCATATATACATATATATGTTTACATAATGGAGAAGATTTGTAGCTCAGGTGGATTGTTTTGATGTAGTTGTGTTCTCTGAGCTGGACGGTTTATTTGCGAAACTTTTATTGCCCTACTAGGCAACATCTTAAGCGCCTACTTCAATTTGAAGTCAGCTTTTAGATTTCTGCACGAGTTTATATATATATATATATATCCGAAATGATTGCAAAATTTAAGTAGTTTTAAGTGGAAGATGTAGACAGGATTTATATTCCTCGTTATCTAGATCACATATTTGAATACTCCTCAGCGTATTCCATGCATTATCTATTAACTATTTTATTTTACCATCACTTTGTAGACACTCAACTGGTTTTTCAGTCCAATCAACTATCTGTTAGAAAGATTTGAGGCGCTATTGTTATTCTTAGCCCCAACATCTGCCCGAAAACTTCTAAGTTGAGCAAACACACACACGCACAGACAATGACCAAAAACATCTGAATAACTGAAAGTGAATAAGCATTTTGTTTTGTCTTACAGATTATACAATATTCATTTCAGTTATAATTAATCAATTACGCTTTTTTTCCTTTTTGTTGTTGTTGTTGTTTTTCTCAACACATAGCATTGTTGTTTTTTTTGTTCTTGTTGTTTTCTGTATTTTATTTTAATCGATATTAAACTAATACTAATCCTTATTGAACTTTGTTACACTGTCTTTTTTCGTTTATTCCCCCCATTTTGTGAAATAGAGCTTGCGAATACAGAAAAATGTCCCATTTTCTTTGTCGTAGTATATATATATTTACATGTGTCTCAGAAATGCTCAACTAATTAATACTAAAAAAAAATAATTAAGTTTAAGAAGGCATACACTCAATTTCTTGAACTTTCAGTACTGTTCCATTCTTCTTCAGTGAAACCAAGCAAAGTGATTTCTTCTGGATCCATTAGATTATTCTCTGCTCGACAGCGTAAATAACCGGCTGCTTGTGATCTGCACAGGGAACTGTTCCAATGATTTTTACTCATGCATTTTGTCCATTCAAGCATTGCGGCTTTACAAACACCACGATGATCCAAAGGAAAACTACCCTTTAGTGGTGGAATAACTTGAGATCGACTAGGTACATAGCCCGTAGAATTGGCTGATACTGTAACAAATAGGCCCATTTCTAAAAAAAAAGCAAAATCGACATAAAATGTGTATTTTTGATCACGAAACGTGTTTTAGTTGACATACTGTGTATATTTACTACCTAGAGTAATTTAAAAGCAGGCTAGAATAGTTTTCCCATCACTTTATGGCTTTAAATTTGTGGGTACAGTGTGTCAGTGCTCAAACAATCTTTTCTTGTTCAGCTTTGCAACTTATATATATCAGAGAATGTTTTCCATTTAGACTAAATGTCAATAATATAGTATAAAGCTTCACACATGTCCATTTTTTTCCTTCACGTTCCCCAAGGGAACATAGGGCTTCAAGCTAGTGGCTTGAAGTTTCTGTAGCAGTGTATATTTTTACAGGATGGGGTTGCTAGCCTCATGCCCAACCTTTCCTCTTTACCAGCTCTATTTCTGGCTTAGCGAGGTAAAGGAGTGCGTCGGCCGGAGGTCGAACCCCAGACCATATGCATGGTCGGCGAGCGTCGTAACCGCTATGCCACCGACACACATGTCCATAGAATGAATTAATTATCACAAAGACACTTTATCACTAAAAACAATCTAAACATATATAGATAACACTACGTAAAACTTCTCATCAATTACTACAGCTATTTCCGGCATCCTAATGATAAAAGGTATCGAGTAAACGAACAGTTTTCCACTACTGGTATGAGTACAAATTTTCAGCATTATTCAACCGTTGTCAACCTTTATCACACTTGATTCGTAATGAATTTGTTTAGTGGAATCATCTTTATAAGGTATATAGAAGATGCAACAAATCTACCTTATAACTTCACTTTTCCCTAATACTGAAGTTCAATGGAATAGCTTTATCATAAAAGTAAGATTTTCGAATGTATCAAACTGTAATTGAAAATAGCACGTGGAGTTTAATGGATAGATAGATTCTCACTATACATAACAATGAAGGCGATGCGATCGTCAAAGTTATCAGTTTTGAAGCAGTTACTTTTCAACTCCCATTCACATCAGAAGCTCACCTCATCTACCAACCTTATTAATTGCAGATATTAAATGAAATACACTATAGTATAAAAAATAGCTTCATAAGTATTAATGCTCAAACGGAGTACAAAGCATAACCCGACTTTGTTTATATAGTAAAAAGTTAAATAGGTATATTAAAATAAATTTATTTAATACAAAAATAAGCACTTTTATACAATTTCCAATGGTAGATAATAAGTGTTAATCATATTTGTGCGTTATACAGACCGCAACAGTTAGTCTTTCGTTGTTTCCACGGTATCTGTAAAAGAAGTAAAAAAAGAAATTTACAGCAGGTACAAACGCTTATAATACACTATTGTAAAAACTAACATCAAATCACGTCATACCTTATCATTTCACCTGGAAGCGCCACACATCATCAGTACAGCCTCATAGAGACAGTCTCACCTAAATCATGCAGTTATTCTGTAACCCGACTACTACTACTACTAGTTTATTTTATTTGTTCGGGAGACTAAAGATGAATGCCGAATAATTTCAACAACACAGATAAAAAAATTTCTTTGGGTCAAATAGGAAAAAAGATTGTGTCAGCCTTTTTAAAGGATTCTTCACGAAATGCATCTGAATCACCAAAGCATGTCTAGATGTTTCAAAACACCTCAAGATAATCAATCAACAAAGTGGTTGAAAACTACCTAGGTCTTTCTATTCCGACATGTATAATCGTTAAGTAGCTTATGTGGTTTACTTTTTACACGTGGTGTTATCTACTTACATTATTTCAAAAATTCCTTCCTTATTAATAGGAAGCGGCTAAAAATATAATCGACATTTTGAGCCATTAGTCACAAAGGTAAAAAATCCCGTGTTTGAATTTTACACTCATATTTTACGTGGACATGATCTTTAGGGGGAACTTTCTACCACATACAACCAATCAAACTAGTTTACCTAACCAGTGACCTAGCACAGTTTTATGTTTTGGAAGTGAATCCACAGATATGGTGATTTTTTCATCCAATGCGTTCCGACTGAGCATAGAATTTTACGCCTCGAAGTTTCAATAGGGTTGTTGTCTTTATTAGGGTAAAGTTGCTAGCCTCACGCCCAACCTTCCCTCCTTTCCAGGCTAGACGAGGTTTACGAGTGCGACGGCTGGGAATCAAACCCCTATCTTCTGCATTCTACCACTGGACCGCCGGCATATATATATATATATATATTTGTATAACAAAGTTTAGTCAAAGAGTGGTCTTTGTCTTTTGATATTTCTGTGGCTCAGTGAAGGCATTTAGGTGAGAAGAATGGAGTTGCTCATTGCATTCCACGTATGTGGTCAACTAACATTGAAGCAGGTTAAAAGTAATTAGTTGCTCCGCCTAGTAAATCGTTATTCTAGTTAAGAAAGGGAAATATGTGTGAGAAACAAGTAGTGAGGATACCTAATTTGATTTATATACTGTTACAGTTCTCCGTCAACTAATGCTCGTCCTACAATGAAAAATTATTGAATATTCTTTACGGCACTACCAACAGAATACTGCTAAGTAACGGAACAAAATCTCTCTGGACTGACTCCAGAGGTATTTAAGTACGGTGGAGACAGTTTACTGTCTGCGTTAACTGAGGTTTAAGGCAGCGTCTGGAATCAGAGTAAGTCCCATCGGGTTGGTGTAAGTCACTGATCATCCCGATATACAAGAAGGGAGACAAGTTTTCTTGTGAAAATCACAGAGGCATTAGCTTCACTAACATAGTATCTAAAATCCTAGGCTCAATAATACTGCGTAGACTAAGTGGTGCTCGGGAGGCACAAACATGAGAAAACCAGGCAGGTTTTAGGCCAGGAAGGGGGTGTATTGATCATATCTTCACCCTTCGACAGATTCTAGAACATAGGCATTCCTACAGGCGTCCGACAATCACTATATTTCTTGACCTAAAGGCGGCATTCGATTCTGTCGACCGAGAGGTTCTCTGGCGATGCTTGGCTGTGAAGGGAATGCCGAGAAAATACATTGCACTGATTAAGGTGAAGGCCTATGACGAGTTGTCATCTGAAGTGGTGACGACTAGTGGCGTCCGTCAAGGATGCCCATTATCCCCATTCCCATTCAACTTCATCATAGACGTACTAATGGACTTAACCCTAACACACTTCAGCGACTCAGGGATTGACTTGCTACCAGGGGAGAATCTCGTTGACTTAGAATATGCGGACGATATAGTCCTTCTAGGCGGGGACTCTGACAAAATGCAGAGTCTACTGAACACCTTGAGCAACAATCTTCGTATGTTCGGCATGCGATTCGCCCCTGTAAAATGTAAGGTGATGTTGCAAGATTGGACTGCACCGACCCCTAGATTAGAAATAGGAAGTGAAGTGGTAGAGCATGTCGACCGCTTCACTTACTTGGGAAGTTGTATCAGCCCCAACGGGTTGATCTCCGACGAAATCTCAGCATGAATACAGAGGGCTAGTTTCGCATATGCCAGTTTACGCCGTCTCTGGCGTAGACGTGATATCTGACTATCGACCAAAGGGCGTGTGTACTGCTCAACAGTCCGCTCCGTCCTCCTTTATCACTGTGAGTGAGACATGGTCATTGAGAGCGGAAGACATGAAAAGATTAGTTGTCTTCGATCATAGGTGTCTGCGTTCTATCTCCCGTGTCAAGTGGTATAATAAGGTGAGCAATATTGAGGTTAGGCATCGAGTGCTAGGTAAGGCGGGGAAATCAGTCGACGAGACTGTAAAATTACATCGACTGAGATGGTTGGGACATGTTACGTATGCCTAGTCATCGCCTTCCTCGACAATGGGCAATGTTAGCTGATATAGGGCCAGGATGGAAAACAGCTAGCGGCGGTCAAACGAAAACATGGCACCAGTCAATGAAATCTACAGCAGTTAGTCTAAGCCACGTAGGAAGGTGTAGACTTCCTGGTTGGGGTCCTCGGGACGGTAAAAATCAATGGTTGGAAACAATTGGTGATATGGCTCAAAATCGTTCTCAGTGGCGCAGATGCATCCACTCCTTGTGACTTATGATTTCCAATGAAACTGCTTTGTTCTTCGTTATTACTATTCCCTTGTCTCACACCTCTGTTTACTGTCTCTACTATGCACTTCTTCTACTTTTCTTCTCTTGCTTTGTGTGCTACATGGAGTGTGGCGACTTGAACTGCCGCACATATGTGCAAAGTTCTATGTCGAAAACCGACCGACCGACTTCACTTTACAAATTATATAAAGTCACCGTCTTTGATGTAAATCACTCACCCGTTGAAAATGGATTAAAATGTATGCGGTGAGTGATTGCACAGTGTCTGTGACACAGTTAAAAAACATTTATGTATGTATTTGCCATTTATTACTTTTGAAATTTCTACTCTTTTACGACACTTTTCACCAAGGGGAAGACACGTCACACACTGTGAGCAATGAAGAAGCAGCAACTGGCTACACTCCGTGTGCTCTCAAAGTACTTCTGTTCGTCCATGACCCTCATACTTTGCTCTTCTGCAAGTATTGACACTATCCTCCAGATAGTGTGCACCTCCTACATCTCAAGTTCAGTGGAGCAATAGGTTAAGCGTTGTGTGTTAAGTTAGCACAAAAAGTCAATTGATGAGGTTTTTAAGTTCCACTTATTCAAGTGGCTAAAACAATTTTTCATATGTCGAGCGACCATCTTCCTTGAACAGCTGAAGTAGAATTATTTTGGAAAAGAGTTAGGAGTGAGTGGTTAAATCAAAATCACGGCATTAATCCATGAATTGGTTATATATGGGTATGAGTCAGGTGGCAGTGAGTTGAACACACTGTCTGGTTGGAAATTTTCGAATTTCAACGATAATCAATATCTGAAGTCTTTTTGATATGGCTTAATATTGTTTACAATCGCGCAAATGCATTCATTATGGGTAAATTTTATTTTGATAAAGTCTCACAGTGTTATACAGTAATATTTACTGATGACGTTTCGAGCACAATTTATTGCTCATAATCATATCAAGTTAATCAC